TCTTCACAAACCTGGACCCAGAACCTCTGAACGGGTGGGCAGAACCAGAGTGCATGGATATAATCATCAGGAATATTGCCTGTGCACTGTGAGCAGTTGTTAGATGATGTAAATCCCATCCGAAACATTCGCTGACCTGTATAATGTACTCTATAAAGAACTTTATACTGTATTAATTGTAAGTTGGAGATTTTAGTCATTTTAAATGTTCTTAAACATATTTGAGACCAGGTGTTTTGGTCAAAATTGATTGATAAATCTGACTCCCATTTTGCAACAGGTAACATTATGGAGTCATTGATTCTAGACAATTTCTTGTATATTTTAGATAATAATTTGGGGGATTTAAGATTAAGGAACTCTAACACACATATTGGTGTTTCTAACAAAGTTTTATTAAGCTTAAATTTCTTTTTTATGATAGACTTAATTTGTTGATATTGTAAGAAGTATTTATTTTCAATGTCAAATTGTATTATTAAATTATTAAATGGAATAAAGTCTACACCTTCATATATGTATTCCAGACGTTCAATTCCCTTGACTCTCCAACCTGGGAAATTTAACATATTATTTTCTTGTAGGATGTCAGGATTGTTCCAGATGGGTGTATGTCTACAGGGGAGTAGTGAAGATTTTGTCATTTTCAAATACTCCCACCATGCTGTCAGAGAAGAGCTAATATTGATGCTTTTAAAGCAAACATGTCTTTTTATATTTGTGCTAATAAACGGTAGATCTGAAATCTTAATATTATTGCATAAAGTTTGTTCTATGTCTATCCAAGTTTCATCTAATGTATTTGGATTTAACCACTTTGAGATATATTGTAACCTATTGGCTAAATAGTAGTGATAGAAGTTGGGAAGTTCTAACCCTCCGGTATCTTTAGATTTCTGTAATGCTTTTAAGCTAATACGTGGAGTTTTGTTTTTCCAAAGGAATTTAGATATCAAAGAGTCCAGTGACTTAAACCATTCAGTTGAAGGTTTATTTGGAATCATTGAGAATAAATAGTTTATTTTCGGCAGGACCATCATTTTTACTGAGGCAACTCTTCCCATAAGTGATATGGGCAGAGATTTCCATCTAGTAAGATCATCTTCAATGTTCTTTAAAATTGGGATATGATTCAATTTTATTAAGTCTTCTAATCTAGGAGAAATATTAATGCCCAAGTATGTAATGTTACCTGATTGTAGTCGTTCATTGAGAGAAGTATTAAACACGCAGTTTATTGGAAGAGCTGTGGATTTTGACCAATTTATAGAATAATCAGAAACTTTTGAGAATGAGTTTATTAATTCGATAAGATTAGATATTGACTTTTCTGTGTTCTGAAGAAAAAGTAAGACATCGTCAGCATAAAGACTAATTTTATGTTCTATATTTCTACACAGTATACCTTTAATATCAGCAGTTTGTCTTATTGCTGCTGCTAAAGGTTCAATAAAAATAGCAAATAGTGCAGGTGAAAGTGGACATCCCTGCCTGGTCCCCCTCTGTAAACAGAAGCTTGAAGATATTTGATTATTTGTCCTGACACATGCTCTTGGTGAGTTATATAATATTTTTAACCAATTAATGAAATGGTCCCCAAAACCAAATTTACTCAATGTAGAAAATAAAAATTTCCAGTTTACCCTATCAAATGCTTTTTCTGCGTCCAAAGACAAAATAGCCGTTTCAATATTTTTACTATATGAATACTCTATTAAATTATATAATCTGCGTGTATTTGTGGTTGAGTGTCTTCCTTTTATGAATCCAGTTTGGTCAGGATGAATAATGAGAGGAATTATTTTCTCTAATCTTTTAGAGAGGACTTTACTAATTATTTTAACATCTACATTAATAAGAGAGATGGGGCGATAAACAATAATATTGATTTAAATTTGACAATAATTAGTAATTATTGTCAAATTTAAAAAGAAATGTTGGTTAATATTATTTTGAGTGTAGTACCTTTTTTGACCACCGGATGGCAGTATAAGACAGTTTGAACCGAAGGATGGATAGTGAGGGAGCGAGCAGCGTGTCCCTATAAGAAAAAGGGGAGGGGGGCCCCTTGACGTGACATGGGCTGTATCTCTTTCCTTTTATCAGTTTTCAAAATGGCGGACGCTCGGAGTGGTTTGAGCGCTTTAGCATTGCATTTTCACACAAAGCTTTTAATTAAAAAAACAGTAAACAAGTTCTCAGCTTCTTTTTGCAGAGAAATACTTTTTAGCAGCTTCGACAAGACGGAGGTTTTTTTTTCTGAGGTCGGCCCGTTAGCTTAGCTCGTAGCTGAGCTACTCAGATTAGCTTCTCAGATTAGATGCTTTTAACGATCCAAAAACGCGATTTTGGACTATTAAAATGGATTTTAAAGAAAAAAGAACGGGAGGGGTCAGTGACGAGCACCGGAGTTGAACCTTTTATCATCCAGTGTCTTCAGTAGAAAGAGACACGAAGAAACGATAAAGCCGATAAATGAAAATGAGGTCGATAATTTCCATTTATCATGCGATTAATTGATTTATTGTTTATCGCGACAGGCCTGACTGTGGCCCCCTGAGCAATTTTGTTGAGTAGTCCTGCTCTAGATACCGTCTTGGCCTGGAAATACTAATTACTGATTCAAGTACCGCCCTTCTGATCTGCTTTTACACTTTTGTCCTTCCAGAGATGTTAAGACCGGTCACTGATATTCGCATCGTGCTGCTGGGAGCAAAGGGTTCCGGAAAGACTTCGGCCCTGAACACAATCCTGGGCAGAAGGAGCAGCCAGGAGCTCAGGAGGACCGCTCAGTCCTGCGTCGGAGATGGAGTTGTGTTTGGGAGACAGCTGACGGTGGTGGACACACCAGGCTGGTGGATGAACTACTTCTGTGATGAGACCTCCGTTTTCGATCGGAGGGAAATAGCTCTCAGCTCGTCTCTCTGTCCCCCCGGGCCTCACGTCTTCCTGCTGGTGATCCGTGTGGACCGAGCCTTCACCGAGACCCACAGGAGAGCAGCGCAGGAACACCTGGAGCTCATCAGCGAGCACATCTGGAGCCGTGTCGTCTTGCTGTTTAGTTTTGGGGACTGGCTGGGGGGCACGACGACCGAGCAGTACCTGGAGACCGAGGGGGAGCCTCTGCTGTGGCTCGTCGAGAAGTGCTCCAACAGGTACCACGTCCTGAACAATAAAACTAAAGGAGACGGATTTCAGGTCAGAGAACTGATCGGGAAGATCGAAGAGATGATGAGCGGCTGCTCTGGCTGCTGGCATTACGAGATAGAAAGAAAAGCGCTGGAGGAGCTGAAGACGAGGATGAAAACAGAGGCAGACAGAGCCAGAGAGAGGCTGATGAAGAAGGAGGAACAGCGGCGGACAGCCAGGTCTGAGCTCGGTGAGTTGGCTATCAATTAAAGGTCCCAGCATCGTCAAACTCAGTTGGTCAACTTGGTCCAGGCCACAGTCCAATGTCAGTGTGTGTTGTGATTGACTCTCAGCTACAACCACACCAAACTTTAGCTCAATAAAATTCACTGTGTGTAGCTAAGGCTGGTGATCAGGTTGATGCTTGAATGTTCAGCTCAGATTTTATGATAAATATAGAAATCGTCTGTCCAACAGAGAAGCTCCGCCCCCTGCAGGAGTTCACCGTCATACTTGCTGGAGGCAGGAAAGCAGGAAAAAGCTCGAGTGGAAACACCATTCTCACCCGAGAGAGCTTTGACACGGACGCTGGAACCAGCTCCTGCAGCGAACATCGACAGAACATCTCTGAGAAGACCGTGTCAGTTGTGGACACTCCAGGATGCTTCCCGGTGACCTCTGACCTCCTGACGACACCCTCTGCCCTCCTGCTGGTTGTCAACCTGAGCTCCTCATTTACACACCTCCACAGGGAGGCCATAGAGAAACAGCTGGAAGCTGAAGGAGGCCAGCTGTGGAGCCGAGCGATGGTGCTGTTCACCCACGGTGACTGGATGGGAGACACGAGCATCGAGCGACGCATCGAGAGCGAAGGAGCGCCGCTGCAGAGGCTCGTGGAGCGCTGTGGGAACCGGTACCACGTTTTAGACAACAAGAACTGGGGAGATGGAGCTCAGGTGAGGAAACTGCTGGAGCTGGTGGAGGAGATGCTGGTTGGACCGAGGCTGGCGGCTCTTCAGAGAGGCCATCGCATGTGGAACTGGGTTTCATCTGCAGAAAAGCACTCGGGTGCAACACGACGTGAGACAACATTAAATCAGAGAACAAGCAGCAGATGTCACGACTGTGAGTAAATCTCATTTATTTTCCTGCAATTTTTATATTTTTAACATTCTCCACCAACCAGGAGGCTATTTTTAGCTAATTCCAGCTGTTTTCAGCAATAAGCATTCACACTGCGTTTTCTCAGGAAATGAAATTTCTTTAGTTCCGTTTAATGTTCATATGACTGATGAATTGGAAAATGATGAGCAGATTAATATTTTGGATGGATAATAAAAACGGACTTGTATAAAATATTTTTGTGACTTTCTTTACAGTGGCTGAAGCAGCTTCATCTTATCCATCACTGACGGGTGCGGGGGGCTCAGATGCTGCTCAGGTTGTGGCTTTACCATCAGGAGGATCCGGAAGACAGACGGGATTCATGTTTTTTGACAGAGACATCTTAACGTCTTTCATTGTCTCAGTCCTCAAACACGGACTAAGAAGGCCGACAGTAGATCTGCCTGTACGGTTCTCTGGTTCTTACAGCCTCCTGAGTCTCAGCGACAGCTACATGTCGTCACCAAGACACCCAACGGACATGTCCTCAGAGGGAGATGGTATCAGCGTGCACGCCCTCTCCCACCCTGCACTGACAGAACAAACCCTCCGGAGGATGTCTGAGTCTGGAAGCCTGCAGGCTCAGATCGACCGCAGCAGTCTGGACGAGCTGGAGGCCTTCATCGACTCGTACTTTGAGATGACGTGGGAACAAACCACGGGCTCGTTTCAGTCCCCTGAACCCGACTGTCTCGTCGCAGAGCAGGACGCCCTCGTTAGGGAATCTGAAGGAGAGGAGGTGCTTTCATCCATAGACAGAAAACTCTCCAAGCTGGAGCTCCTGGAGGAGATCAGGGCGGATTTGGCCGAGCTGAGGCAGAATCTGGAGAGCCATACACGAACTCAGAGACAAAAGTGACTCCAGTTAGAGTTTTACTTTTACACAAAAATGTTCAGTGTGAATTCGAGTTCTTTTTAGCTTCATAAAGAAATCCAACATTTTAAAAGATGTTAAAAAGTAGAAATTACTCTTAGGAAAATGTTTGAAAGCTGCACAAGAATCCCTCAAACCATTTCCAGGAAATTAAACAACAGATAGCAAATTCATTGTACAGAACCTTAAACTTATATTTCATGTTTTGTACGATGGAAGAAACTTATGTAGAAAATTATTATTTTTAAATTTACATGCACAGTATTGAAAAAGTCAAGATGTTTTAAAGAGTTCTCCACAAGATGGGGATGTTGCTTAACAGCAGATTATGTGTAAGGTTTGCAGATATGTGCAACTTCTACTCTCACTGCAAACTTTGGTTTTCAGAGAGAAAAGGGATTTTGTTATGGAGCAGAACTCGTTAGTGATCAGAGTGAGTTTATTTGGCTCAAACATTTGAGCAGCCAACATCAGATTGTGTTTGGTGCCAGTTTAGACTCATTTACTTTCCAGAGTTTTGAGGTTGAACCAAACTGGACAATTTTAGATGTACACAAATGTTCTTTAAAGAGTTTTCTTTGTTTATTTTCAGCAGAAAAACTGAAACATTTTGACATTTTATGCTATTTATTCCATGCCAATACAATTTTTAAAAAAATGTTGCTATTTCTGTGGTCGATTGGTGGGCAGATTGAAGCGTGCAGATTGACACAAAGGTAAAAACATTTAAAAAAGACAGTATGAATAAGAGCCTGTACGGTACGGGCACATTTACAGCATAGGACAAAAATACTGTGCAGTTATTAAAAATAGCATATTCATATTCAAAGAAATGTGCAACTGAGTAGGATAATGTAAAGAATGTACATGTTTATGTGCATGTTTGCAAAAAAAAACAAACAGACTACAAGAAATGAAAACACTGTGCAAGTGACAGCAGGGATGTAAACACTTATTGTGTTGTGATCGGTGATTGTTCTAAAGTCTAACAGCTGCTGGGAGGAAGGACCTGCCATAACGCTCCTTTGTGCACCTCGCAGTCTGTCCCTGAAGGAGCTCTTCAGTTCTGCAACAGCTTCATGCAGGGGGTGGGAGACATTGTCCAACGAGCTCTTCTGTCTCCCACCACCTGCACCGGGTCGAGCCATCCTGGGACAGAGCTGGCCTTCTTGATGAGCTTATCTAACCGCTTCATCTCAGCTGCAGATAAGCTGCTGCTCCAGCAATCTATGCCGTAGAAAATGGCTGATGCCACCACAGAGTCCAAAAAGGTCTTCAGGAGCACCCCCTGTACTCCAAAAGACAGTCTCTTCAGCAGGGAGTCTGCTTGGACCCTTCCTGTAAGGTGCGTCAGTGGTGCCACTCCAGTCCCGCTTAGTGTTCAGGTGAACATCCAGATACTTTCAGTGTCCACATACGCAGATTTGTTAAATTATGAGTTTCCAGACAGAAATAAAACATCTTGTAAATTAGAACTAAAATGGTAAGCTTACTGGTACTGACTGGCAACAGATTACAGTATGTCACTGTAAAAACACAGCAAGTAATGTATTTGTATTCATAGTATTATTACTGTAGTGCTACTTTATAGTTTTTGTGTGAGTTTTTACACAAAACTATGATAGAAATTGGACTTTTTTGTTGAGTTTCAAAGTGGATAAAATATTTTTTTGTCTTTTTACAGCATATTTTGAAAATAAAGGTGTAAAATATATATTTATCTTTACATTTACTGTAAAACTGATTTACATTAGAGGACTTCACAGGAGAGAACATACATTTTTTTCACAACCTGTGGCAGTTGCCAGGTATATACTTTATACACATTTTGTAATTTTGCTGCCAGCATTACAGAAAATACTGTCCGAAGTACAAAAATTAAGAAAAACTGAACAATTGTACAAAACTGTTGAGAAAATTAACAATTAAACAAACATGAAATAGTGTTGTGCAGCCATTAGGAGATTTAAAATGTCAAAGTAAATGCTTTTCTTGTGCAGATTTTTTTTGTTTTGAGATTATTGCAGAGAACAGAATATTCTGACTGCAGTTAAAACAGTAATTTTAAACGGACTTCTGTTTGTTCTGAAGATGAAACTGAATTTGTGCAGCCTTCATTCAAAATGTGTTTTAAAACTTTATCGATGACTTTTTATTGAATCACCCACAGATACACAGTCAGCTGCAGAGGAAACAGTCCACTGTTTTCAAGGCTGTTGAGCTGATCAACACCAAGAAGCAGGTGACAGCTTTAATAACTCGTTTCTTTCCAGTTTATTGTAGTTTTTTTTTTAAATATAACATTGTGAGTTAGTGGAAAACTGCAGACAACAATGATATTGATGTGTTTATTCCTTTGAAAATATCATTAATAATAATAATAATAATAACACTTTATTATAAAGCCCTTTAAAACATTCACAGCTGCAACAAAGTGCTGTACACATAAAATCAAGAACATTTAAACACATAAAAATAAAACAATTATTAAAACATTAAGATCAATAAAAACAGTTCAGAGAAATGTTAGTCTCTGTTAAAAGCCAGAGGGTAAAAATGTGTTTTAAAACCCGTTTTAAAAATGGACAGTGAAGGGGCTCTTCTGATGGGAAGAGGGAGATCGTTCCACAGTCTTGGAGCAGCAACAGAAAAAGCTCTGTTCCTCTGAACCTCCGTTTAGACCTCGGCACCTCCAGGAGCAGCTGATCAGCTGATCTGAGGCACCGAGCAGGAGAGTATGGAGCAGTTCAGAGAGGTAGGAAGTGGCAAGACCATTTAAACTTTTAAAAACAAATAAAATAATTTAATGTGTTTTATTCCATGTCTTAAATCTGCATGGAGTAACTTTACTGGTTGGTGGACTCGGCAAGAGAAGTCAGAGCTTCAGATGTCTTCTGGTTCTAATTAAAAGGTGACATCTGAACGATGAACGCAGCTTTTCTGCACAGAGAGGCGGTTCAATGTGATTCTTTTCTGCTCTGGAGTTTAGGAGCTTTTAAGACTTTATGTTTTTTATGCCACATCATGCCACATCTATGCCTAACATGCATGTTTTTGGTCTGTTGGAGGAAACCAGAGTACCTGGAGAAAACCCATGCATGCATGGAGGGAACATGCAAACTGCACCCAGAAAGGCCCCCGACTGGGATTTGAATCAGCGACCTCCTCGATGAGAGGCAGCAGCTCTATCAACTGTGCCACCCCTTCATCAGCCCAATCCATTATATTCTGTTTCTCTCCCCCTTCAGATCAGCTCTGCGTTGTTGACGTTATGCCAGTCAGGTTTTCCTGCGAATACCTCCTGTGTATTTTTTCATACATGGTTCCACCTCAACATTTTTACTTTCTTATATTAAAGTTATTTTTTTTATTTCCTTGAGCTCCTCGTGGGTCTGATCCATCTATTAAATCCAACACAAAGGTTTAGCTTTCAGGAAAAGTACAGTTTTTAGGAAGTCAGAAGTTTTTGAACTGCGCAGAAATAGATTTGTGTTTAATTGCTTCAGAAAGGAGTAAAGATGGAATAAAAAAAAAAGTAAAAACTTCAAACCAAAGCTTAATCATTTTATTAATTATTAAGACTGTGTTTTTTATTCACAATGATTTCTGATCTTCAATCTTCTCAAAGTTTGGAGTATTTTGGGTGGAAAAAATGCTTTGTATGAATCAAAGCATCCCCTTTTCATGTGCGCGCACTGGAAGTTTCAAATCTTTCTTGCAGCTCTGTGAGTTGTTTTTCCATTTAGACAAAGCAGACAACAGAATGAGAACATGTCTGTGTAGAAACTCCTCAGGTACGTCTGCAGCTTTTCTGCTGAGATGTAAACAAATTGCTCTTTACAATGTCAGCGTGTGAGTCAGAGGCAGAGTGGAGAGACGAATCAAAAGAAAACAAGGTGCGTCACGGTGAATAAAAAAGAATTTTGTCTGCATTGATGCACTTTTTTTTTTATCTCCCACCACCGATGAATCAACAGCAAAAATGTTTTTGCTTGTCTGTTCAGTTAGCAAAATATTTCAAACTAGTGGCCAGATTCAAATGAAACAACACTAAACATCGGTCGACATCTTTGCTGGAAACTTTGTCAGTAACTGACTTAACACTGTCTGCCTGTTAGCAAAATATCTGAACCACTGGATGGATTTTTAATGAAACTCTCAGAAATTAATGGGTATTAGTCAGTCATTTTAAAGATGAGCTCAAACTTGGTGTGGTAGTAGCTAATACTTAACACTGCAATATTTTTGAATGCTAACACATCTCACAACTTACGCCAGTGATGTGCAGTCAGGGGAGGCAGGTGAGGCACATGGCATCATGACAAGTAAAATACTAACAATGACAATAGAAAATACATTTGACCATTTGACTGTTTTATAAAACTGTTTTTTGAATTACTTCAACACTTCAGTGGTCAGATTCACAGAATTTACACATTGCCTGTTCAAACATGGAAGAAATGCACTGGGTGAGGCAGTGTAGTGCTCTGGATCACCTCTAGTGGTGCTATATATAATATACACTGCCTGGCCAAAAAAAGTCCCCCACAACCCCCCCCCCCCCCCCCCCCCCCCCAAAAAAAAAAAAAAGGTCACCGCTAATATTTTGTTGAACCGCCTTTAGCTTTGATTATGGCATGCATTCTCTGTGACATTGTTTCGATAAGCTGCTGTAAAAGTTTTCTCTGCTGGATGCCAATGATATCACTCTTCTCAAACAGACTGACGTCTTTTCCACGACCACACGATGTGTCTTTCCACATGGTTGTTTTAGAAATGAGAAATAACTCATTGCACCAGTTGTGGTTAAATAACTCGTTGCCAGCTGAAAGATAATCACCCATGTAGTTATTATCCAATAGGAGGCTCGTACCTATTTGCTTAGTAAAATCCAGGTGGCGACTTTTTTTGACCAGGCAGTGTATGAAGTAGGCGGTTGGAGCATGCCCATTGCTGTCTCTCTTTATATTGCCAATATACATGTT